CAAAAAGAATTCAGTGATATGTCATCAATTCTGAATTCATTTTCAGATGCAAAAAGAATTCTTTTTCTGAAAAAAATTGATGATTTAGAATTGATGATATATCACTGAATTCTTTTTGAACTCTTTTGAACTCTCTGTACTATCTGGGTACAGACTATAAGTTATATATACGGGAATACAATACAATCTAATTTACATCTAATGAATACATTCTAATGAAAACAATCTATATGTCATTTGCACCGAAGTGGAACTGAATGGAGGGTTTAGGTGGAAACTAAACCAGTAGATGGAAAATAACGAGTTACTTTCCAACCTTGAATATAATATCTACTACATCGATACGCGTTATCTTACATTCACGCATTAATTGTTTGTTAATGTTAGGTAAATAATAGTTTGCGCACATTATGAATTGTTTTCACATTATTACTTGCGAACAAAGTAATTTGGTTACATGTTTATTTAAAATTAAACGTTTATACGCTGTATTCGAATTATTTTCATTTTAGTATTTGCGAAAGAAATAATTTGGTTAAATGTTTACTGAATAAATATTTATATGCTAATATAATTTGGATAATTTAGATTGCGATCATCTATTTTATTATTTACTTCTTTGTCTGTATTTTGTTTATATTTACTATATCTACCAAAACTTTTTTGCTATAGTATTTTAAGTCGTGAATTTTGGGACACCCTGTATATCATTTCTTTTTTTGCACATGTATTGAAGATGATTCAATTCTGCTTTAGAATGGCATACGGTCCTTGACAAATGACTCATTTCGGCTCATTTTATCTTTACTTTTTGTAGCTCTTTTTCAATCTCCAGTGCCCTGGTGAACAGCGGTCCGCGCACTGCGTACTCCATTTTGCGAAGGTTCACGAAGACATTGTTCTCAGTGAGAACCTTATCGCGCGGGTTTGACGTCGCTGTCATCGTCACTGCATTCGATGCCATGCTGCGACACAAACTAATCGGCTGGAATCGCATCGATGCAGAAGACTCTTGTGTGTCCAACATCCCTACTCCTCTCCATTCCGATCAGCACCCCATCCCCAAATAGAATATAAAAGTCATAAGAATATTTTATAAAACTTTCTTTATTTTTTAAAAGTCTGATAGAAATAACACAAAAATGATCTAGAAATGAGAAAAGAAATCGTAGGCTATATTATAATTAAGAATGTTTTTTTTTGTTTCTAAAATATTTAATATAATGTTGGAATAGTGTAGATAATAAAAGATAAATTAAGATGACTATAATACATATGTGATCTTATTGTAATCTTATTGTGATTTTAAGATTTACTATATCTAAATGCTATTTTTTTTTAATATTTATTGCATCCATGCATATTAATATTTGAATATGTCTGATATTTCTTTTTTTTGCAGAAATGTTTCTTCTTCTGAATCTGATCATCGGTTTTCAATTTTACACTCAGCAAAAAGTTAGAAAGAAATTATAAACTGTATTAGATGAGTCAAACATATAGTATGTATAAGTTACTAGGGTTGCGTGTGTGTGTGTGTGGGTAAGTTGATGTTTTTTTTAAACTAAATTAAGTTACAAATTAATGGCTTATAAAATTAATAAAATTAAATTAAAAGTTGAAGGAATAAAGAATTAACTTAATAAAAGTTAAGTTAAGATTGAATTAACTTAAGTTTAAAAAAAAGTTAATTTTGAAAAAGTTATTTTTG